TTAATTATCCACAGTGTTGTTAGCCCTGTATTACCTTTTTTTTTAAATACACAAAAGATGTTTCATATCCTAATAAAGTAAAATACAAAAGACCTGTGTCTTTTCCCCCCCATGATCTTTCTCTAACAGTACAAAAACAGGCTACAACCCAAAACATCTGGAACTCTGTAATTTCACCTTGTAAATAGTACAACAAGAAGATATTGAATTTCTAAAAAAGTTGTGGGCATAAAAAGTTGCAAACAGCTTTTGGTCTGTTTTTAGGCTAAATGTAACTTTCAAGAACAGAAAGTCTTTGTAATTTTTTTTTTAAAATTACTGCACCATGTTTTTGTTTGTATTTTATACATCATTAGTTTTATAATTATGAATCATCCCAACTCTGTTGGAAACTTATTGTGTAAGTTGTTTAAATCTGGAAAAGCAGAGAAGCGAGTGCCTCACTGAGAACTGAATCCCTGAGGCAACTTAAACACTGCACAAAAAAAACTCTGTAGAAAACCTGTGTATTACAGCATGCACATTACACTCTGCAGTATAACAGTAATTGCTTGAATGGCATTGATTTTTAGTGACATGTGATTCTGACCTTACGTCAGGTACAATGTAGTGTGTTGAGGCTTTAAGGTGTGGCAGTGTTCAGTGTAATGTTGTCACAACATCTTTTTACTGTGTCATTCAGGAGTTGAACTTTCCACTCTACATTTATACGTTTCTGAATAAGTTGAGACCTGCAGGTGACCAAGGACTCCATAAAGGTCACTCATTACCTATCAAGTAAATACCTTAATGAAAGGTTGGTAATGAGCTATGCTTTTAAAACCTTACATTCTAATACTACCACTAAAGATGACAGCATATAACACTGACCAACACAAACTTTGTAAGTTTAAAATATGGGGGGAAAAGTTATGTCGAACATTGATAACAAACAAGCAATGCCAAAAGCAACAGAGGGGAGTGAGCAATAAAAAGCACAATTTTGGGAATGAAAAGAAGCAATGCACTCCAATAAAACTGCTTTTCTATAAAAGGTTTTGCGCAAGGATTTAATTGACAATACTTGTTTTCCTTGTGTTCCTTCAGCACGGCTGCTTCAAAGCACAGAGACTCATATTGCAAACATTTTGTTGTTGAAGTCATCAAATGGGGATAAATGCATTGGGACGGGGATTATCTTTTAAAGGGTTTCCATGCTGATAAAACTGTTTTCTGGTAACGGCTCCATTCAAAAAAGGTAACTTAAAGACATTAGAAAACGGAGGAAACACCCATCCACTTAGGTGTGATTTAGATGCCTTGTAACCCTACGATGCAGCCTTCGACCAAGTTGCATCAACTTGATGTTGCAGAAGTAAAACAGTGTGTGGTCTGTCTGTGGTGAGGGACTGCTTCATTCTGGTTAAACAGTTTAGAAATTACAATAATTAAGTAATAGTAAGTGTATCTCATTATTAAGAAGTTTCAATAAATCTGGGAAATCTCACAGCTATATCAGCATTTAGATTTACTGTTACACATTAATATGAGAACCTTTTCACAAAAAAATGAGGCAGAAAAGATGCTTGTAACTAAGAATCTGTGAACAGTTTCTGCTTTCAGTACTTTCAGGACTGTCTGCAGAGTACGTGACCATGGTGCAGTATCAATTGGTATCCTCACTCCAAGTTGCTCACTAGTTAGCTAAACTTTCCAGAAATGTATTTCATGTTGAGCCCATCTTCCAACCATCTGCAAAAAGTTAAAACTCCACCATGTGAAATCAAAATCTTTACACGAAAGATCTGGAAACCTCGTCTGGGCCTTGTAATGATGTATATGAAATTATTTTTTACATCTATATATGCTGCAGTTCAGAAGATGCCGTTTTCACCGAAGGCCTTGCTGATTTCAGCACGCCAACGACAAACCACATTTAGCATGTACAGCATTACAGTGAAGGACTCCTCAATAGCATTTGGGGGAAATTTCTGACTAATTGGTTACGCAGCTGAATCTCACTGTCCCTCTCGTGGACTGACTAAACAGCAGTGCCAGGTCTTCACATCAGAAGATATTGCGTAAGGTTTGCAAGAGGCCAGATCCAAAGAGAAGCATTGGATGTTATGCAGTACTGTGTATTACTCAATAAATTATCTATTATCAAAGTGGGTAGCAAATATGTCCTGCCTCTGTTGCTTGTAGTCATTCCATGTTCTGCCAATTAAGGATGAGAGCAGGCTGACCAGAGTCACCTTTTATGGACTTGCGCACCCTGAGCTGAATTCTTGCTGTCGGTGTGGTTTAGATTCCTGCTAGATTTACGGTCCCTTCAAAAAAAAAAAAAAAAAAAATTCCAACCTATAGCTTAGATGTGTTTGCTTCCAAAATAATGACCTGGTAGGCTTATATTTGCTATACCTTTATTTTGAAAATAATACCCTTTTAACCCATATTTAGAGCACTCACACATCATTCACCAGGATGTGTTTCCTTCAGGTAGAAGTCACCTCTGAGACAGAATGAAGTTTTCATTATAGTACAAGCACATTAGGAAAATGAGCTGCACGTGTATTTGGTGTGATTCAAGCAAGTTTATGACATCATTTGTCTTCTATGAATATTTGCCTAATAAAGTCTTACAGAAACTTGAGTGATTCTTTCCTGACAATAATAAGGCATCCCGAGCACACCTCCCTCTCGTTTCTTCTGGCTTTATAAAATAAAAGACTACAACCTTTAAAGAGGAGTCAGTCTTTGATACTCCACCGCTGTTCTGTGTTTGCATCCCTTAATGAAACTTGTGCAGTGTCCTATTTATATATACAGAAAAGGATGACTAAGGCTACGTTCACACTGCAGGTCTTAATGCTCAATTCCGATTTTTTGATCAAATCCGATTTTTTTTTTTTGTCTGCTTGTTCACACTACAAATAAAATGCGACAGCAAAGGCGCTCTAGTGTGAACCCTCAAAGCGGCCCGCATGCGCAAAAGAAGACATCACACACAACGCGCTCTGTTTAGACCCAGAGCAAACAATATTGTTTGACTGATGGCCCTTAATATAAAGACTTCGGACTTTACGTTTCCCAATTTTTGCTTTAAGTTATTATGTTATTTACATAATAATGTAGATAACCTAATAATTATCCTTATTGCTGTTTTAGAGGAGTGGTGCTTCAAAGGATAGTTGCAGATTTCTGTCAGAATCTGTACAAATAACATGCTCACGTTTCTCCAACGTTGTCTTCCCAACGGTTTCACTAACATCTACACTGGATGGCCAGGAAGCGTACGCGATGTCTTCTCCGGAGCTGATAATTGGCGTCTGTCTTGTGTCAGTGACGCAAAAGACGGATTTAATACGACTTGACCATTCAAGCAGCAGTCGCTTTTTAAAACATCAGATATGTATCGGATTCAGTACCACATATGAAAGTGACCCAGATCGGATTTGAAAATATCGGATGTCATACCATGATCGGATATGGGTCGCATAGGGTCAAAAAAATTGGATTTGATGCGCTTTCGCCTGCAGTGTGAACGTAGCCTAAAGCTCACTTCAATCTTCACGGTGTGACGTTATTCTGTTCTGTGTCTTGCAGTTGTTCAGGGGTCAGGCAATGATCTGTCATTTGCCACAAACAAGTCATGAATCCTTGTGTTTTATTTATTTTTGTTATAGTATTTTTGCTAAAGAGGAATAAAGTGATTGTGCAAGTTCTGCTTGTATGCATTTTAGATGCTTCACTTTCTGTTTATACTTTTCTCTTACATCAACAATGATCTCACTCACAAGAAAATAAAGCATTTCCTCTAAATGCTATATGAAAAACTACTTAGAGCAAAAACAATACTATAATAAGAAGCTGCCCCATTGTCTGGAAGATCCTTTAAACTTCCCCTAGTTCCACGTCAACTGGCCAGAGGACCCAAACCACAGGTGTTTTGGTTTTAATGTGCCTCGTGTGCTTTGGGACGGTACAGATTTAACACCTTTAGAGTGTAGAGTGACCAGCAGTGGGTTTCAGATAAACAAAACGAATAAAGTCGAGGTTGAAAGTGTTAACCTTTTAATAGCTGAGCCACAAGCAAGCCAGGAATCCAAATAACAGTATGAAAGACTTTTTTTTTTTCTTTCTTTTTTTTTTAGTTATCTGCATTGCTTAAGTTTGGTGTTGATTGAGGAATGCTTCATGATGTTTTTAGGGTATGTTGGGGCAGATTACTATCCATCCGTCCTTCCATCCATATTGGAACCCATCCCAGCTGTCTTAGGGTGAGAAGCAAGTTACACCCTGGAACAGTTGCCAGTCCATTGCAGTGCTAACACAGGAAGAAAGACAGCCATTCATGCTGACATTCACACCTCTGGCCAATTTTGCATCCTTTGCACTCACTGTGATGCAGTAGTGTTAACTGCTGTGCTGTCCTGTTGTATGTGTGATGATTTTAAGTTTCCAGTAATCTAGTCACCTGCCTTTAGTCAGGCAGTAAAAAGCATTGCCAAAGTGCTGTAGAAACCAAACATTTTATTTTATTTTCCAAGTTTTGGGGTTCATGTAATGTTATTATTTAGGAAAGGAAAATATAATACTGCATTGCATTTGCATTTGGGAAATCGATATTGTAATTTGTGTATATTAATTTAGATGTTTTGGCTTCACAGCTGTCTAGCTTTTAAGCATCACATTGTTAGCATCAAAGCATTTACTCGTGTATTGTGTGACTTGCTAAATATAGTTTGCCCTGTTTTGTGGCAAATGTGAAGCAGTGGTACCTGCACTGCTGGTGCACGAGGGTTTGATGTGCAACAGGATGTAGACAGACAGGATGTTTGCACTGTGGTTAACAGCTAAGTGCAGCAGACCTACTTTTCAAGACTATCTTTATTATGTCACTTTTCCACAGGTGGTGCCCAGGATGACACACAGTTGTAGTGTGTTATGATTTATATTGTAAAATCCCTTTTTAATACAATGAGGCTGATGTTTACTATGTTTTTGACATTTCCTTGTAGAGCTTGGGATGGCACAGCGCAAGTTCGCCCAGTGCCTGGGAGAGTTTCAGTTTGAGTACATTGGCGATGCAAAGACCGATGATGAGAAATGTATCGGTAAGTGTGGGCTAACCACCTCATATTGAAGGCGCTAACCATATGTTTTTTGCCAACACGTGCTGTTAGACGAGTGCAACTGATAATTCTAATATCTTTAACCCTGTATGTGTTATTTTTTGTTTTTTCTTCAGATGAGTCTTTGCAAGAGTTCTCAGCATTCCTCAAAAACCTTGAAGACCAAAGAGAGCTGATGGTGAGAGTGTGACCAGTTAGAACCTAATTGAAAGCCCGCTGTACCTTTTGTGTGTGTGTGTGTGTCTAGTGCTCATAATGTAGGATACTTGTAGCATATTCTCCAGCTGTTGTTGCAATATTGTTAGCGTTTGCACATATCCTCCCCTTCTGGCTGTCTAAGGGTCACTGTCACATGCCCTGCCTGGGCGTGGCTACAGAGAGAGCAAGAGTCCATAACTACATTACGCACAACACTCATCACACACCCAAACTTTAAGTACCGAGCCAGATCAAATAAAGCGCTACCACCAACAAGATCCACAACAATGCAAGTGTTTATGACCGTATATTGCCATAAAGCTATTCTGCCACAGGTAGCAATATTATAGCTGCCAGTATAACCACAAAAATCCCAAATAGTGAATTGATACACTTGTCAGTGCTACTCGTTTGAAGCATTCTTACAATGCAGATGCAGACTTTCCAGCCATCTTCTTGTAATGCCTGTCTGGGGTTAGGGAGTGAACCCATCATCAGTAGCTTGCGGAGATGCCTATTACAGCATCATGCTCAGACCGTAAGCACAGACTTAGCGCAGGAATCCTCAGGGTAAAGTGCGATGACATCACCATGCAGCATAAGGAAAAGTACTATGGCCAAACAAGTACAGACATGCTTTGTTCTCAGCACAGAAGAAACTCTGGAGTAAAGACGTTACGTACAGTAACTTTAATAATGCACTACTGGAAGACAAAAGGTTTTTTTTAGTAATTAGTAGTGTTTAGAGGTAAAAAACGAAACATTGAGCCGCTCAAATGTTGGCATATTATCAACTTTTAAGAAGCCACAATGGAGCTTCAGCTTTAAATCTCCACAAAGATTCTATTGATACTGTTTATATAAAGTTACAGCCATCTTGGCTGAGAATGATTGCAGTACAGTTTTTTTTTTTTTAATACTTATTTATGTTTTGGGTTGGGGTTTTTTGGGGGAGGATTGGCAGAGGATGAGCTGGGAATGAAGTCTCAATGTTTACACTTACAGTTCAATGTGATCTTGACTCACTTTGAGCAGAGAAGCTGCCGAGTGTGGCCTTATACTTTGTCTGTTTACCTTGCTGGCATGCTAATAGACAACAACTGGTGCAAAGCCAAATATGCTCCAGGTGGTAGTCCACAGTTTTTTCATGTGGCAGTTCAAGTATGTAAATATGGGCCAGATAATGTGTCACCAAGGAAGGACAGTAACGGATAAAAATTGCACATGTTCTTGTCATTGTTTTGCAATGTGCAAATGTCTGAAAAGCATGGCAGCATTATTAAAATGAAAGGATGGATTATGCAACATGGTACAAGTGGCAAGAGTAGTGGCAAGTAACTACAGAGAGCCGTTCGTTCGTTAAGACTGGAAAGTTTTGAATGTCGTGAGTAAGTAAGTAAGTAAAAGTTTTATTAATGAAGCATGTCACTGAAATGAGCACTAATGAAGGCATTTATTCTCCGTAGATGAGGAACATCACAGAAACCTTAATGAAACCTCTGGAGAAGTTCAGGAAAGAGCAGCTTGGTGCATTAAGGGTAAGGGCCTCTCATTCCAAAATCTATTTCCCTTAAACAGTCTGGTTTTTGTAGGCTTGATGCCCTTAATAACTATAAAAAATGCATTTGTAGTTTCTGTAGTTAATGTTTAATGGATTTTACTACACATACAGCTTCTTACTTTAATTCCCAAAAATAAGGAAGTATTTCTTCTCCTTTAATTTTACTGCTTTTTCCCCCCCTGTATTTTGTTAAGGCGGAAAGAAAGAGATATGAAAAGGAAACAGAGAAATACTACAGTTCTTTGGAAAAGCTTCTAAATATGTCATCAAAGAAGAAAGAGCCGCAACTGCAAGAGGTATCTTTATCATTGCCTGACCGCTCTGTGTGACGTACATGATATGAATTTATTATGACAGTAAGATTATTCAAGCAGATGTTTTGTTTAGTGTCTGAATTCCGGTTCTGGCTTTATCGTTCGGTGCCATGAGGCTGCAAAACCTGGTCGACTGCTTTGGGTTTCCACTGGCATGCCTTGCAGCAATAGTTTTCCTGGCTTGTTTGAAAAGGAAATGTGTGCTCTTTTGTACCGCACCTCTGAGGTTGACCGTGGCTGCTGCAGTTTGTGGATCAATCCCCGCTGCACTACCACAAGCTGACATTTTTTGAGTTACGACGAACTGAGCCACCTTTTACAAAACAATGTTTTTTTGTGTTTTGTGATGAAACCCTGTAAAGCTTGCCTGTACGTTAGATCCACCAACCAGGGGGTGGTTAGAACTGTTAACATCACGACTGCGGGGTTTTGTATTCTTTGGGACTCTTATAAGACAAGAGTCTGTGGCACCAATACTGATTTTTAGCAGACTTGTATAAATAGACCCCATATTTCATTCCTTGCTACAAGGGTCATGAACTCCATCAGCTGTTAGGACAACTCAGTGAACAGTTTATACTAAATATAAACCTGGTGTGTGAACTACAAGTGAGAACTTTGGTATCTGTAGTAATCAGAGCTGGATGTTTACTTGACAATATTGAAACAAACTTGCTGTAGTGTGAAAATATGCATACTCTATGGCACTTAAAATGTATTTCTAGTATTCAAGCCTTGCTGCTTTGTAGTTCCTGGATGGTTATGATACTTCTGGGCATTTTTCAAATACTAATAATCACAGAAATGAAATAAGTAGATCTTTTCTGTGTTCAAATTCCCTACTGGTAGGTTAGAGTTCAGTGTCGCCCCTTGTTCCGTAGATGTGAATACTGGTGTGTCTTTTCTCACCCTCAGTCAGTGGGGTTAGCTCTGGCTTGCAAAGCACAAGAAGCAGTGATAATGGCCAGATAGATAGATATCAGAAAGATTGTGTTTCTCACTTTATCAACAGTTTGCACATTAAGCCACAAGGAAGGAAGCCGTGGTGTCCTGTGCAGTCTTTGTATGGTCTGAATGACATTTAAGTTCGCTTTGACTTGTACTGCTTTTGCCGTCCTTGAAGACGGATCCCTGCACTTCCTTCAGTTTTCGTCTCTTTCCTGTCAAAGTTTTAGCGTGTGTGGCTTTTCTTTGTCCGAAGAGACAAAAAATGGAGGTTGATCACACAGCAAACCTGTTTTTTTTTGGTGGGGGTGGTACAAATTAGCTAAACATTGGTGTCAGATTTTGATTTACTAACTTCAGTATGTCTTCTATACCAATTTAAGGCCATACCAAGGTAGACCTCAATGTCCCAAATTGCACCAAAAAAACTAAAATTGTGATGTTTCTTCTTTGCTTCCGCGCTTCTGCCTGTAACTATAATTATGATGGGGTGTGTTCTCCACCTCTCCAGGCAGACACGCAGGTGGAAATCATGAGGAGGCACTTTCAGGAGGAGTCACTGGACTACGTGTGCAAACTGCAGGAGATCCAAGAGAGAAAGAAGTTTGAGTGTGTGGAACCGGTGAGTAACTGACCTAAAATGGCATAAAAGCACTGGCGCGGTGTTTCATTCATACCACAATGAATGTCTTAAAACAAAACCGATGTGCTAGTGTATACAGTACATGGGATTAGCCTGATTTACAGTAAGAAATGATGGATTAAAAGGTAGAGCTCTATTTCTAGGGGTGCATTTTCAACAACCCCACACTAAATCGAGTTGGTGTCTTTGAAATTTCCCCTTGTACAAAGTGTGCCTACCTTCTAATAGATGTGAAAATATTTGTAAGTAAGGATCTACTTTCCGGGGAAACAAAATCTGTAACTTTAATACTGACTCAGATTAGTAGATTTGTTACAGCTAAAACCACTATGGAAAATTACAGATCCCGACACTTAATGTCAGATACAGATGGTCATAACAGTATTGCTTTATGACAGAAATCCCAAACCCCTTCCATATTAAAACCAAAAGGCAATATGTGAAGTCCTACACCGTCACAAGTTTTTGCCTGACTAAAAGTTATGAAACAATTCCATCGTATCCTGTCATTATGTGGATATAGTTTGCAAGTTTCTCTTTTACTTGCTGACCTTTTATCTCTGGTCTTTTTCTTCGTCTCATGTGTTTTCCTTGTAGATGCTGGCCTTCTTTCAGACAGTCTTCACCTTTTATCACCAGGGCTTTGAGCTCGCCAAGGACTTTGACCATTATAAACGAGAGCTGCAGATTAATATTCAAAATGTAAATAATACTTTTTTTTTGCCTAATTGTTACCATGATAGCAAATGTTTATATATGTCATTTCCCTTGCACTTTGAGAGGAACAGAAGAAAGGTCTTAAGTGTAGAAAACAGAAGATTCAATTTTAACTTTTTGGTCACTAAATAGGGAAAAAGGCCTCTTCATATTCCGATCTAGTATTTACTTGTCTGTTTATCTTCATTTGGCCATCAACTCCTGAGAAAAATATGTTTTGTTTTCTTTACCGCTTCAGGTCACACCTCTGTTGTTTCGATTTCTCCCATCCTGCAGGACACAGTTTCATTCTTACCTTTACATTTATATACTGTAAATTAGCAGCTAATTTCAAAAAGTTGAAGGTGTTTTATGGAAGCCATAAAAATACAAGATGTGACTTAATGAGGCCTCTGGAGGTCATCCCTACCAAGCGGCCGAAAGTGACTTCCTGGAGTGTGCGCTTGCTTCCTCTCCCTCTTAGACAAGGAATCGATTTGAGGGCACTCGGTCGGAAGTAAACGAGCTGATGAAGAGGATCAGAGAGGCACCGCAAGAGTACAGACAGACGAGTCCCATCAGTTTTGAAGGCTACCTCTATGTACAGGAAAAACGTAAGACTTGTTTGTGATCATGTAATAGTATGTGTATAACATTTTAGTTAATAAAGCGCAGCAGGCAGCCAAACTCTGAGCGACAAAAAAAAGCACAAATATAACTCTTCCTTATTAGAAGGGGATTTTTTGTTGTTGCTGCTAATCAAATGTGTAAATGGAGGTGATATATCAGATATTTTTATGTAAATCAGCAGCAACGTTGCTGTAGCGTGACACAGAAAGTTGAAACACAGGATAAGTTCCTGAAGTTGCACTTGTTGCTGACACTGTAGATGTTTTAACTGAATTTGCTTACTGCTGCGTATTTTTTTGTCACTCGCTCGCTAAAAAGGACATTGCGAAAACTGCGAGCGTTATCCGGGGAGAACCACACTGGAACTGTCAATTGTGTGTTAGCGTGTTGCAGCAGAGCCCAAAAGGGCTTGTTATGACTTAAACCACATGAAATGTTTACAGTATGTCGTTATTATTTGTGCTTCATCTAGGGCCACCTCCCTTTGGTTCAAGTTGGGTCAAGCGTTACTGCACATTTGTTAAAGAGCAAAAGATCCTGCACATGGTGACTTTTGACCACCGATCAGGAGGAAAGATTGTGAGTGGAAGTGCCGCACACTAAAAAAAAATCAGACTCTGTTCAGTCTTTTACTTTCCATTACAACGTTCATTTTGTCATGCATTTTCTTTTTTAAATAACCAACCATATTTTGATGTTTTTTTGTTCCAGGGGGAAACAGAGTCCATCACACTCAAATCCTGTGTCCGGAAAACGACAGATGTGTTGGACCGGAGGTTCTGTTTAGATCTCGATATAACAGATCGGTATATTGTCACTTACTATGTTCTCAAACACACTGTGATAAAATCTTGCTTGTATTAAACTTGTCGTTTAATTTGGATTACTGGTGACACATTATTTGTTATTGCCTGCTGGATGACTTTTGCTTGAACACAATGTAAATGTTGTCCACAGACTGTCCACAGAGCACATAGATCTGTTTTGCTAAAGGGCTTAGCTCCACACACACACTTGGTGTTTGTTGCTATGTTTTGGATAGCCCAGGGCAGCACTGCAGGGGTTGTTTTGGAGGACCGCCCTCACGCATCATGCTGTAATATATATCCCGTTTTGTCACAGAACTTAACCCTGCGCCGCCCCTTTTCTGTAGTATTAATAGAAGAGCAATACCTTAAATTTAGAATGGAAATGTCAGTGCACACATCTGTTCGCCCTGTAATGAGTAACTTGATACCCATTTGTTCCTACATGATTGGAAGTGTCATAAAACCAGCTGGCCTCTTCTTTGTAGTACAACCAATCTAAGATGTATGTGGCAGAGGGTGTTTTTTTTTTTGTTTTTTTTTGCTTTTTTGCAAATACATTTCATGCACTCCTTAATATTTTACAAAACTGTACCTCTGATGCTTTTCCTAATACAAGTGTGGTATGGCTCTCTCCCAGGCCAGGAACGGTGCTTACAGTGCAGGCTCTGTCTGAGGATGACCACAAGTTTTGGATGCAAGCCATGGGTGGGAAGGAGCCTGTGAGTCAGCTTTCACAATGTCATCATCTACCACTCACTCATGGAGTTTTAATACATTCTCTTTAACTGCCATCTTGTAGAGAGCAAATACATGTAGCTTTACACCAACATATACTTAGAACTCCCCAAAAATATACTGCGTAAACTTTAAAACTCTACGTCTGTGTTTTGTGGCTGTTACTTTAACAGGTCGGACATTATCTTATGAGGACTTATTCTAAAGAACGTGGAAGTAAGGATCCAGCTGTGCCAGACACTGAATCTGTAAAATTATGTGATATCACAATTTTATAAGCATCGGTGTTTTTTTTCGTCTTCATTTTTTCCCTACCTGTAGTCGACGCTCAGTTGGATGACGTTGGTTTCAGTTTTGTGAAGAATTCCATCAGTGCAATAGAGAAAAGAGGTGAGCTATAAATATATTTAATAATGTAAATATCTGATGCTAGCATATGGAAAATTGCAGGATAAATTTCAGTGTTGGTGGATAGTAATAATAGTAGGTAACATGCATGCAAGCCTTTATCTGTACACAAGGGGGCAGACTTTCTCCAGTATTGAAAAGGCAAAAGACTTCCCAGCATCACCTGCAGGCACCTTGTACTGAAGACATGCAACTGCCTTTTCACGGCATTATTCTTACTTATTTGCTCTTATCTGGCCACCTCTTCATAAAAAGATCCTCTAAAAACTGATATTTTTATGCATGTTGTTACCTCATATGAACTTGGTTAAAATTGAAATCATGCCGCAAATATATTATTTCAATAATTGTCATTATTGTATTGTAAGTAATATGCAAGTAGAGGTGTATTATTTTTATTATTGTTATATTCTAGGCATTAATGACCAAGGCCTGTATAGGGTTGTGGGGGTAAGCTCCAAGGTCCAGAAGCTCCTCTCATTAATGATTGGTAAGTTCTTCATTCTCCTCTTTTTCTCACATAGATTTTTAGTTTTTTAAGTAAGGACTGAATAAAGTTACAAATTTTAATTTAATGCCACCGCACTATCTCTGTGAAATTAGGTCGCCCCTAGTTAGTTGAATATGCTGATGTAATGGATGTGTCTGGATGTGTCTGTTAGGGGTGATATTAAAAAGATAGCGATTGGAAATCATCCCGTGACTCAGCCCACTGGTACCCGTGGAAGTGCAACAAGTGCCAGTGTGTAGCTTGGCTTCGCTTTCATTCAGTTTTAAGCCCCCCGAGACAACCCGACGAGGTCCATCCTATTCACATTCTTCTGCTTTTTGGCTTTTCCTTCATTAACACGCCAGTAGGATGGCCTCTTGTGTGCTCGCAGATGGCTTAGTCTGTCAGTTGCCTTTCTCAATTACCTTTATGCCTCTTACTCGTCTCGAATCCCTTTCACTCAACTCCCTTTCTATAGAACTTGTCCTCTGTCCTTTCCATTGCTCCCTGTCTGCTCTCTGGTTTCCTGCTGTCTCCAGCAGACACCAGCTCACTTTCAGCTCTGTGTTCAGAATGACAACAAACTCAGGCAGCCGCCAGCCTGTCTCAGCTTCCTCTCCAAAACCTTGCAGCCTTCCAGCCTCATGCGGTAGACTCCATTAATGCTCTGCTGCGGAAGTTTCTTTAAAGCCTTAAAGTATAGAAAACTTCCATCACTAGTCTTGAGAATCTGCATGTTACTCATTTAAAGAAAAATAACGATTTCATCTGTACCTAAATATTTCTATCTAAACGCAACTCGTATTTTATCCCTGAAATGACTAATATGTATGACAGCAGTTGTGTGTTACTTCTCCACAGACACATTCACAAACATTTCTTGCATACAACAGTTCACAGTGAGTGGGTGAAACAAGCTTTAAACCCTGAAGAAAGACTTTGGATCCTCCCACACCTCCTCCTTTTCATCTCTCACCCACCAACATGGCCACGGTCCAATCTGAGAGGACAAAGTGATACAAAATTCTCCCATCATATTACAGTACAAACAAAGAGAGCGGCACCTATTGAATGACAGACAACAATATAACAGGAAGAAACCTGTAAAAGTGAGCTCCGTTCCCTCTCTGACCTGTCTGTGGTTCAGACGGGCAGGGCAACGTGTGGTGTCGGTGGCGATATGGTCATAATAGCTGCTGAATTGGAGGTTTTGGTCCTCCAGATGTAATTGCATAGGTAAATTTAATGAATGCACATTTCCAAGGAGCAAAGTCAGGCATTTAATATTTTACAGTTCAAAGCAAAAGTTGTTAAACACTGAATTAGACCTGAACAGATGCTGAAAAGGTTTATGGTGCACCTTCATTGGTTAAATGGTATCGCTTGAATACTGACCCGCCAGGCACACTGTGGCCTCTTTGTGCCCAAAAAACCCAGATGATAAAGAAGAGTCATCTGTCACTAGATGAACCAAGCAGGCGGTTAGGACATTTTGCAGTGTGAGTGTGCACAGCGCAAAAATAAACTCATGCAATAGCTGCTCTGAATAGCCACACCTGAAGTAAGAAGGAACTGTTATTAAAATGTGAGGCTAATGAGGTGCTTTTTTGATTGTATAATTTATAGAAAATTAATAAATGAAAAATCTTGAGAGAAAAATTATAACCTACGACTCCTTTCTAGTTTGAATGTCGGCTATTTTTGGTTTGAGACCTTTCAGGAAAGGTGGGGATATAGGCGTTTCCTAAATCGACCGAGATAGAGTTACGGGTAAGTGGTTAACCGTGGGTCAGGCACTTTGGAAGAATTACCTGTGAGCTGGATGTTTGAGAATAAAAGAACAAATCAGTCACGCAGGAAGCAAACACTGACAGGTGCTGCATGTGGTTGTTGCTTCATCTTAATCCTGAACAGCATTTGCTTCCTCCCTTCTTCTTTTTCCAGTTGGCATCAGTTGCACATCTTAGTCTTTGCATTTTAGTGCCACTGAACATCCTTACAGCACATACGTCACACAACCATCGCTTCCTTTCCAATTTCTGCACATCACTTGTTTGTTCGGGTTTGGGTCAGGATGTGGTATTTACTTATCTCATGAATAGGCTTACTTTCATACTGGTCCAGGCTTTCAATCAGCTTATCCTCAAATTTGAAAGTCTGTGAAGGAGAGTAAATTCCCTATTTTTATTTAACAAACTTTTCCCTTCTTAATATTTTGTGTATGATGAAAAGTTTTTCTGCTGGTGTTATGTCACTCTGCCGCTGTGCTTATTAAGTCCCCACACAGCACGGTGTTGGTTGCCTAGTCTTTATTGTTGCTAACACAAAAGAAAATAATATAGAACTGAACCTCGGTGGATGCTGTGTCGTTAACAGTTTTGCAATCAGTGCTCCTCCAACTGCTCCAGCTGTGTTTGTGCATACACCGACCTGGCCAAATCAGGCCTATTTTTGCAAGACTACAGCACCTCTGCAAACTCCATCAGTCTCACATATGGAGACACACCTGGCTACACATGCTTCCTAAAAACGTTTGCTTTCAGAAGTTGACACTGGACAGGCAATTTTGTGGATTATGCAGACGGAGAGACACGTGGTCCTCTTGCCTGCAGTGGATAGATCAAATAAAAAATAAATAGATTTCCTATTAACAGACCACCTAACACCCGTGAAGCTAAAGTCTGTGTGGTGGCTAAGACCCTAAGCTGTACATGTGTCAGACTCCAAACACTTCACTGACACATTGCACTTCCTCTGTAGTTCATCAGAGGCTACTTACGGTGTGACTAAAGCCCCCCCTACCCCACCCCCGCAAATTTTCAGCACAACACACCCTTGGAGTCCCTGTGGAGTCAGTGAAGTAGTAAGGGATTAATTAAACTTGTAATGAGTATAAAGCCAGCAGCCCTCTACAGATGCTGCAACTTCCTTCCATATCCTCTGGGGCGAAACGCGACCCCCGAAGGCTAGCAGGAATGCTTTTTATCCTCATATGGCTAATTACAAGTTACATATTTAAATCACATATTTGTTGTGCATAATATGAACAGGGTAGTTAATTGGCGCCTCGGTGCGAATACCTCAGTCAGTGAGTAATTGCAGTGATGCTAAGTTTGTGATTCTTATAGATGAGAAGAGCGACGAAGTGGATTTGTCAGCCAGCGAAGACTGGGATGTTAAGACAATAACAAGTGCACTGAAGCTTTATCTGAGGTAAGGATTAGTGTGATGTTTTAATGTGAAAGACACGCACACACCTGTGAGTTATTTGTTTCACCAAGCAGTGGCAAGCATTGATACTAAAACATTGCAGCACAGCAAGTGTTTAAATAAGGTAATTGATTCTTCTGATCGCTTTTGCAGTCACTTCAGCTCTAGACGTTACACCTAAACCCTCTGGTTGAATTGTACCTATTAACAAACTTTTAATTAATTCGTCTAATTAATTTGAAATATGACAAATAGAGCCTACCGCCATCCCTTCTCAGCAGCTCAAGAGTACAGTAGCTTTTTGTCTTCATTAGATGTTAATAGCTGCACTGTTAAGAGTGCAGGAACTCTTATTTGGGGGGAAAGACACTTAGTAGGTAATTATATTTTTTCATCTTATAAACCGTCAAACTGTGCTGTTGTGTATCCAAGCAAGTCTATTTCTGACCCCACGACAACTCCTTTGATGAATGCGGTCCTTTCCGCTTGCTTGAATGCGAAACACTGCATCCAGCGTCGATGCTTTATTTTATAAAATGGCTACAGATTTAATTATGCAGAGTGCCTTTGTATAATTAACTCCTTGCGAACTCATAATGCTCATGATATGCATGTTCCACAGTCAATAACTCCTTCCAGGTTGGCAGCGAGTGTGGGTGAAGTTCAGAGATTAAAAATGTAGTTTGGCTGCAAGAAGATGAAGCGGTATAATTTTAAATGCCAATCTGATTTTGTCGACATGCTGTTGCAACAAATTGAGTTGGCTTTGCTTGTTGCTTGATTGGAGGAAAATTTGCATTTAAAGTTGGGAATTTGCCTGCTTTCTTTTATGCATATTAAAAATACTAAAAAGAAACTAATACAGTTTTTTGGGGTGGGGGGTTTCGATTGCTTGTTTTATTTTGTCACTATGGAGGTCTTCAAACAGTCACTGCTATGTAATTAGGATGTAAATGATGAACCTAGTCAGGGGGGTTAAACTTGTGTGGACTGACCACTTCCAAAAAGCAGACTGATGGAGAGGACTGTGGACTCTGGGACATTACTTAGTTGAGAAGTTTTACCTCAGCATTTTAGCTACCGTACCCTTATCATTATTGACGTGCTATATTAAATCAACACAGTGTTTTTCTAATTTGTCTTTTACTTCCATGACCTGCTGAAGTAAAACGGCCTCAATCTCCTCAGTTTCCTCTGAGGCTAAGTAGCTTTGGCCACTATCCAGCTGCAGTGTGAAAGTACCTTCAGATGAACTTGGTTATCTCAACGCGTGCACCGTCTAATTCCATCTCCTGGCCTGGCCACATTAATCATTGCTGTGTGCAGACCCTATAAAACAGTGTGCCAGCTATTTCTGTCCCTCTTGCTCACTTTAACTCTCCTTCTCCCTCCCACCGCCCCCCAACCCGTCTCTCTTTCTCTCACTATCTCTGCGAAGGAGCCTTCCTGAGCCGCTGATGACCTATGAACTTTACAAAGAGTTCATTAGCCCCGCAAGTAAGTTCTACCGCCTCATGTACCAGCTCTTCATCTGAGCGCAGACCATACGCAAACAGAAGTGTATGTATGTGCCGTATCAGTGCGAAATGGGCATTTTATCAATTGAAGCAGCTGAGTTCATTACTTAGTTCTTCTTCGGGGGGTTATTGAAAAGGAGCAGTGAAGTGAGACACAGTAAAAACACTTTTAAATTAAATTTTACTAACTTTGTTTAAACTTTGTGCTTTTAAGGGAAGTTGGGCAACAGTGGTCACCTTTCTTATGTCTGAAAGCTATTGTGTGGTGTGTGCGTGTCTTGATTGCTAATTATCGCCTTTTTATGTCTTCCTGCGTGGTATCAGTGTGTTACTCGCAGCACTCAGTGCATTTGTTCTTGATTCTAACCCTACCAAAGAGGCTTTCAGCTCCCTTTGGCTTAGTTGCATTTGTCTTTTCATTGCAGATGAGCTTATTCCAATCTCCATATAATCGGTACCTGTTTAACATGGGACTAAATTTGTGGCCAAAAAAGCCATTAAAGATCCTGGATCAAAATCATCCAGTGACCTTGAAGAGGAAAAAAAAAGAAGGGAAAAAATAGGGTTTTTTTTCTGCCCACATAACATAATTTCTGTATGAAATGTTTTAAATCAAGCCAAACTTGAATCTTATTACAACAAGTGCTATAATTGGATCAGGTTGACATTTTTATCAGGCGCTCGCAATGCCCTCATAACGAGGGGGGGAAAATGGATTAGCAATGAATATTTTTTTTGATGGATGACAGCATCCATAAGAAGCTTTTGCCATGTTTAAATCCTTGTCGTTCCCATAGTAATGATATTTTGTGTGCCTGTGTGTGTTAGCGTGTGGGCGGTCAGATGCCCATGTGTGAGGAAGTGTTTAAGAGATGATCTTGGGGGTTTTAACACAACCCTTTATACGGTAGCGACAGTAACGTAAAGCTATCTTCTCCGCCAGCATAGTGGTCCCTGCTGCCAAATTCTGGGAGGCTTCAGACCGTATATCACCATCACACCTCTTCTTCATTTATTTGAACTGGGATGTATTTTCCTCTAATGCTTAATCCCATACACTTGAGAGGGATAGCCTCTGATTGTTGCACGCTTAAAGGTCCACCAACTTTTGCTCATTTTAAAACATTCCCAGACTTCCGATAAATACTTTTAGGCCTTTTTGAAGTAACATAGAGCTCTTTACCTCGAAACCTCACTCAAATCAGCAGCGACTAGAATTTTTCATCATCTATTTAAATTTCCTACTGTACAGTGTACCATCTGAGCTGTGCTGGCTCCTTGCCATGCGAGGAGCACAGAGAATTCCTTGTAGTTTAATATGAGTACACGGCTGTTTCTGCATTTGAACAGAGGGCGGTAGTCCCGAGTCTCGCATCCAAGCCGTCCACTGCCTGGTCCACAAACTACCGGAGAGGAATCGACAAGTCCTCGGGCTGCTTATGAAGCATCTGGCCAAGTGAGTGTTCATAGTTCCTTGGTCATAGTTCAGCCAATCTCCACCCCCTCTCTCTCTCTCTCTCTCTCTCTCTCTCAGTTCTCTCTTTCTGCTCTTCCTGTCTGTCTCCTTATTCTCACTCCACATGCTTTTTCTCTCTCTCTCTCCCTCACTCCCACTCTTTTCACTCCCCCTTCCCTGCTGTCACTCCATCTCTTCTCTGTCTACTCAGTGACTGCTGGGTAAGAAAATTGATGCCACTAGCGTCTCGATTCTTTTTTCTTTTCTTTTTCTTTTTCTAAGGTCATTTTGTTGTATATTTAAAGTTGTCGAGGGAGGATTGAGTAGCCTGCCGTACCTGTTCATCATGCTGTTTTGCAGCCCACGGGCGAAACGAAATGAAATAGACCACTCAAATTAAGCCCTCTCTTGAGATTACTGTATACACCCCTGGACGGACCACTATTGTGCATCATTCCATTTGCGAGATTAGATAGGAAGAAAGATTTTAAGAAATAATGTTAGCTAACATTACAAGGTTTTACCTCAGCAAGCTTTTTATAAACTAAATATGAGCAAATTGAAGATAAGTAAATAATCCCTCTTCCCTGAGGCAGTGAAAGTCTGGTGGATCTTATTTCATAGAAACCCGCTGCAGAATCAGGCTGTGGTAAAAAGGCAGCGCTATTGAAATTGAATTTGGATTATCCAGCGTGAAATTCTCCAGACTGGAGAGACTCGAATATTTTTCTGAAGTTGGCGTGTGTGCATGTCCTGCAGGGGAAGGAAGCAAAGCCAGAATTTCACACTCCTATCTGAAATGGTTTCAGAGATGTTATAAATGTGAGTTGTCACCAATGTTTTTGTCTTCAAAGGCATCCTTTGAAGCTATTTAAACTGTCTCTCTGCAGCTGCACTGCATATCATCATATTTGGAGTATGAAATCTCTTCACCTGTCCGTATAACTTTTTCTTCAAATAAAGGTTTTTTCAACTTTTCTTTTTCTTGACCACTTAATATAGTTGTACCTATTGAACTCCCAGTTTTGGAATGGATGTAGGTGACATTAAATAAAACTCCAGTCTTTCCTCAATGTAAATATCATTTGGTAAGGTGGATCCATCCCCTGGCCTCTTTACATGTCAGCGATGGCAATATGATGAAGAGATTAATACATACTCGCATTCAGAACACAAAGAGAAAGCTTAATCAATGGCCATGTTGTGTGCTTTTGAAAAGAAAATCTGAAAAAAATCCCCCAGAATAATTATATGTGAACAAAAATATTAATAGAAAGTTCATAGTAATTAAACTTAATTGTAGTGTTTTTTAAGCGTTTTATATACATTTCATATGACACAAAGCATCATACAGTGCTGCAAGGTGTCAGTTTGGCTAATGTCTTTCACAATTACTAACGTAAAAGTAAAAAGAAGACCAAATTATTGAAAGTGTGATTTATAAAAAAATATATGCTTGACTCTGATGCCCTCAAAAAAGTGACAAAACAATAAAAGGGATGTTGTTTAAAGTTAAAAAAAAAAAACCCAAACAGAACTGATCAGTAATGTGATTGTGAATGCCACTGAGTCAGAGGAAAAGACTTCGCGGCACTTTCAGCTGCTCCCTTATTTCTGCTCCCAAAGGATCAGCACAGCAAATGTATCTGCATATTTGATTTGGCACACATTTTACATGAAATACCCTTATCCTCACATTTACCAGCACTAGGAGTTCATGAACAAGCCACCCTTCTTTTAGACTAGCTTCATGTCTCTTGCCCATCTCAAACCAGGGGTCTTTTGGATGTAAGGTGAATGTGTTAACCGCTGCTATGCTCTGAAAGACTACAGGAGCAAATATTTCGGCAGCAGTTTTAAAAATTCTCAAACTAAAATTGCAGAGAATTTGGGAATCTGAAATTAGTAATTACTTTTAGGAGTCACAACCAGAATCTCTAATGGCATGGGGTTACATTAATGCATATAGCAAGGGTGATTTTCATCTGTGAAGGCACCATAATTATTAAAAAGATGTGCACAGATTTTGCTAAACCACACTCTGTGGCATAGTCCAAAATGAAAGGATGCTAAACTGGTTCTACCTACAATCCTACATTGACGAGTCATCCATGAGTCCTTTCCTGACATGGAAAACATTGTACAGTACATGGATATTGGGTCATGTTTGCATTAGTATTCCCCCTGGGTTAATTGAGAAATGTAAGAATGACAAAAAGAGACAGCATACGCATGCATAGTGTGCATAATGTGCTTCAAGACTTGTTGCCCTTGTGCCCACAAGCATTGTCAACAGTGACACTAGAGTAGTGTAACTTCACTCTTTAGTTCCATCTGTCACTGTCACTAGAAGCAGTGTCCCTGTGTTTTCGGGCCTGTGTGTGCTTCAGCTGCCCCTTTACTGAATAAGGAATGGCGATTCTAGATGACAACAGCAAACATTCAAACCTTTCAGTGAGCTGAACAAGATTTGCAGTCTTAATCGTGTGTTTCTATCTGCTAATGTGACTGCATGCAGTTTAGACTTGTGTTGTAGAGAAAATAAGTAAAAGTCACACACGCCAAGTTGGTAAGATTGCAATCGCAACTGTGGCCAGGGCGCTCATACAAACACGAAGCTGACAAGTTCAAACACCATCAGATTAATGGGAAGGAGTGCATGTCTGAAAGGGCAGATTGGCATCATAATGAAATTACAAATACAAATACAAATAACAAAGGAGGCCCCGCAGCTGAAACCCTATCTCAAGCGAGAAACGTTTGGCTTTTAAAACTACAGCAGTTGGTCTCCTCAGTTACCAGTCACAGGAGAGATGCTGGAGTGCAGCAATAAGCATTGGCCCTGTCCTAACTTTTTGGGATTTGTTGCTGGCATCAAATTCATTATTTTACATTGGGTTTAAAAATGTCTTTGAACTAGCTATTGCATAGGCCACCATCTACTAATTTAATGAGCTGGAAGATGAGTGCATCCAGATCTGGGTGGTTTACCACCTCCAGTTTTGAAGGGTAGAAAAAACTTGTCTTGTGTTCAAGGGCTGTTTTTCAGCCAGCGACTAAGCCTTTATTTAACATTATTTTTGGATTCCCTTTTTCATCTGCTTATGTAACTTTTTGGGGGGGAGGGGGAAATAATGACCCATTACAGTTACGCTACTGGAGCTCTGCCCTTTTTTATTCTTGGACTACCCTGTCTTTGTGAAGTTAAGTTGTTTAGTTGAAATTAAGCGGCTATAATGTGAGTGGTTATTTTCCCCAGCGTGGCGGCACACAGCAAGCAGAATCTGATGACCATGGCCAACCTGGGCGTGGTGTTCGGACCCACATTAATGAGGCCACAGGAGGAGACTGTCGCCGCCATCATGGACCTTAAGTTCCAAAACATTGTGGTGGAAATCCTCATTGAACACCATGAAAAGGTAACACACAGACTTTATAATCTATCATATGCCTAGTGGAGTGCACTCTATAGACTGTATAAGTGTCTATGGGAATATCCTTCTATTGTATTCTATTGACTTTTTTTGATTGTACACACATTAACTGCGTTGACTCTTCACATTGGATTCATCCTGCGAGTGCAACATTTTCTATACAACTGTTTTGCAATTCGCAGTCCACAACTATATTCACTAAAACCTAAGCACTGTAGGCAGCGCCAGGTAACAAGTGACAGCACGAAATGAAATCTGAGGTGACATGACATCAGTAAGCTGCTCACAGCACCTTGTTGTTTACCTACCTATGTGGTGCATAATTACTCGAAACTGACAGATTATAAATGTGCTAGTGCAGCAAAAAATGTGTTTGCGAGTCTTTTTTGGAACGGGGCGCTTTATTACTGTTAGAGGTTTTGTGTTTCGCTTCCTAAATTATTATTTGGTACTTCTCTGCTGGAACAGAAGTGCACGTACTGTACTATGTCTGACAGAAGAGTTTCATCTGGATCGAATAAGAGTCTCAATTAGGGGAGATGTGATGCTCTTTTCTTCTGCAGGTATTCTTGTTTTTGGTGAGGGTGGTTTATACGTGTGCATTGAAAACCTTTTTTTGCTTTCTTGAGTAAGTGTTCTGGCAAAAACATGCATCATACTAGATGATGGGGTAATTTGTGGCTATTGGAAGCTTTTCCGAGTTGACATAGAGCTCAGATAATGAAACATGCTCGGACAGAATACCCTTCACCCAGTTATTGAGGCGCAGAGAAGCTCGATGTTAGTTTAATTTACATATTTTTGTGTGGCTCTCCAATAGGGGGAGCCCTAAGTGCTTCTACCAGAATCAAACACATGGTTTTCTCTTCAATTTCAGCCTTTTGATTACTCCGTAGATTGTTGCACACATTTTATTACATTCAGAAAGGCCTGTCTGAATGCATTTATTTTGGTTGTGAGTTGTTTCATAACCTGTAGTTCACAGGATCATGTAATCTCCCCCAGAATGTCATTAATCGGTGTCAATCCTCAAACGGGGATAATTCTCCGTGTCAGAAGAGAAAAAGGTTTGAGATTAGTTTTCTAATCTGTTTGGAGCAGAGCTGCACTCGCTGCATAGAATCAGATGAAACCGGGAGCTCGTCGTGTTTATGTTCCTTCCAAGCTTCATTAAAATGAAGAAGAGGCGTGTTGCGAATAATGTCTCCACCCAAACTCACAAATCTAAAACGGGATGTGAGAAAATACAGAAAAAACAACACCAGCCAGCCCCGCGCGCACCGCTAGTGTCCTTAGACTACCTAGAGGTATCCAGCACTGGCCGGGTGATAAAAGATGTAGTGTTAGAATGCAGCAAGAGCATTTTAGAAAGTACAGCATGTTTGAGCAGGGGAAAAGTTGAGCAGACAGACAGACGGGCATTAACTTCCCTCACAGCTGAGTCCCACTCCAGACTGTTGATACCCCCAGATACCAACAGTAGACTCTGCTTTACATTCACCTCCATCTGCAGAGAGAGGCGAGAGGGGAAGAGAGAGGCAGCACAAACTCTCAGCCATATCAGATTTCACACTTTTTCTATCTGCCTCTCTCCTACAAACTTTTTCTCTCATGCCCCCACCCCCCCTCCCCCTCCTCTATCTGCCTCTCCGTTCACACTCTCGCTCACTTTCTCTCTCTCCTCTCCTCTCCCTTCCCTACCTCCCTCCTCTCCTCATCTGTGATCCTTTCTGAGGCTCTGCTGAGACTTCCTCTTCTCTGCAGCCCTATTCTCTTTTAACTCCACATCTGAAGTTTATATGTAAACACGGGCCCGGTGTAAACAGGCTTTGCCAGTTGGCCAGTCCTCCTCAAGTCCAAACCTTGTTTATTTGACTTTGAGTCAATTTTTTTCGGAGGAAAAACGTCACCTTAACTTAGCCCTGGATTTCTAGATGGGGAAGTGATTATTTATTTATTTAGTTATTTTTTAATTTTCTGGCCACACACACACACACACACACACACACACACACACACACACACACACACACACACACACACACACACATGCGCACGAATCTGTTCACATGCAGTTTTTAGGGTCCAATCAATGAGCAGCTCAACTTTTCCTAGGAGAACTTGCTGCTGCTGCAAATATCTTTTTCCATCCACAACTACATAAAGAGTGTGAGTTTTTCAAAACACATTGGTTCAGTTGAGGACATGCTGCAGCTCAACAGTCTAGGAGTATCTGCATTGTGTATGCTGTGTTTTGCTACAGACTTATTCACATGTGTATTCAGATCTTTACAGATGCTCCCGAGTCATGCCCTCTCTCACCTGCTGCCCCAGTGCTCTGTGCTCCCACGAGGCAGTCCAAGAAAATGAGTCGACAGAATCGGCCTTTGGCTGTCTACAATCCGCAAGCCCTTGACATTCAGAATGGTAAGAGATGTACAAGTTTGTACCTGTATATTTTCACATTTCTTGGTGTGTTAAATAAAAGGTGTTGTGAATGTGTTTAGGAATTTTTTTTTTTTTTTGCTCTGGAAGTTCAAATGCTCCTCACTTTAGCTGTAAAGCACTATAGTGATTCAGCAAGCATCTCACTTAGCATTTATTCATTTGTAGGGCCCAAGAGGTCTTAAGTGGCAACAAGTGAGTAATACCTGCCCTGAGACTTTTAGTAAGTGCAAATGAACTGAACATAAATCTGTTATGTTGGAAAATATTATTTTACTTCCATTTCCATGTGCAGATATGTGGATACACCACACAGCAGCAACTCAATACATTTAGGCATGTAGATATGGTGAAGATGACCTGCTGAAGCTCAAACCGATAACTTTGATCGTCGCACGGTTGTCGGTGCCAGACAGGCTGGTCTATAGAATATAGCAAAGTATTTCAGAAACTGCTGATCTACTGGGATTTTCCCCACACAGTCATCTCTAGAGATTACAGAGATGAAACAAGAAAGAAACCATACAGTGAGGATAAAAATGTATTGTTGATGTCAATGGAGAATAGCCATACTGTTTCAAGCTGAGAGGAAGGCAACAGTAACTACTGGTTACAACCAAGGTATGCAGAAGAGCATCTCGGAATGCACAACTCAGTAAGTCATGAAGCGGATGGCCTGCAGCAGCAAAAGACCACGCTGGATGTCGGTCCTAAGCTACGAACAGGAAACCAAGGCTGCTGCTGGACCAAAATGGAAAACTATATAGACTTTGCCTGGTCTGATGAGTCTCGATTTCTGTTGCAGTATTCAGATAATAGGGCCAGAATTTAGTGCAAACAACATGAAAGCATAGAGCTGGCCTGGCTTGTATCAGTGGTTCGAACTGGTAGTAGAGCAGTGGTGCAGAAAATATTTTCTTGACACATTTTGGGCCAACTAGTACCAACTGACCATCATTCAAAAAGCCACTGTTTAGCTTAGTATGGCTGCTGACTGTGTCTATGCCTTTATGACCACAGCATGCCCATCTTCTGATGGCTGCTTCCAGGAGGATAACGCACCACGCCACAAAGCTCAAATCGTCTCAAACTGATTTCTTTTACATGACGATGAGTTCACTGTACCCAAATGGCCTCTACAGTAGGGCTGGGCCATATCATACCGTTCACGGTAATACCGGTATAATGTTGGGCAATGATAAGAAAATGAAATATCACGATAGATTATGGGTAAAACGCGCATGCGCAGTGCCTTTGTTTTCATACGCACATGGCGGAAAATGAGAAGGTCGAAAGCGGATCGTTGAATGAAACGGATGAACCAGAACTGGTTTGTAAAAATGCTGCAACTTCAGTGGCGTGGAACTGGTTTAGCTTTCGTCCGTCAGATACACAACAAAGCACTATTTTTGGTAGAGCATGCTAGCGGGCCGTCGTTATTACCGTGTTTTTTTGGAAAACACGGCACACTTAAAATCAATCCTTTGATTTTTCTGAAAATAGACAGAGCCCTATATAATCCCGTGTGCCTTATGTATGAATTCTGGTTGTGTTTACTGACCTTGAAACGATTTTATGTCGTACACGGCGCTCGAAAATCTGTCAAATGTTTGAGTACGACTTTGCTAAGCTACAAAGCCGCACCGCTTGATGGATTGTTGGAGCATTACGGCTATCATAGGCAGGTGCCTCGCGGAGTGATACGTACTGTGCTTCAACATAATATTACCGTATTGTGTGTGTATAACCTCTTTTTAAGTTTTGTGGATATTATACATGGTTATGCTGAGGATATGTCGGCCAATTTCCACTGGAAATGCCTTTTGGTTAAACTGTCAGCAAGGAATTTGCACTGTTACATTTTTATATAACTTTAATGCGCATAAAAAAACAGCTGCTTGTTTAAGTGAAAATATATTGATGGGGTTTTTTGCACAAATAAAGTTGTGGAGTTGTAAAGTATTTTGTCTAGTGTCAATTATATTGTCAGTTATATCGTTATTGCAAATTTTCAAATGTATATCGTGATAAATATTTTTGGTCATATCGCCCTGCTCTACTCTACAGTCACTAGGTCTCAGTTCAATAGAGCCGCCAATTTGCAGCCAAAAGAATTTTCTGCAAATTTGTGACACTATCATGTCAATATGGACCAAAACCCCTGAGGAATGTTTTCAGCACTTTGTTGAATCTAAGCAGCAAAAAATTAAGACAGTTCTGAAGGAAAAGGGGGTCTACGCTGGTTCTAGGTCTACACAAGGAAGCTGCCAGTTGAGATTCTGTTGAGGGGCAATTTAAAATCCAACATGTATTGTCTTAAAGAACCTGAAAAGGGAAAACTTTAGTGCTAATTTATTTTAGTGCTAATTTGTACACTCATACTCTAACATATTTTGTGCATTAATTATCATAATAGAGCGTTGCCAGGTTGTGAGGTGCACCAAGGAGGTTAGGCTTTATGTAATACAGTGTTGTTGAACAGAAACACAAAGTCAAAATATCCAGAATTATCATGAAGTCGAATCAGCATCTTTCTAATGGGCGGTTTAAACAAAAACTAAACATTATCACTGTCGGATGCATTCAGGCAACAATATTAGTATCCATTAGTTTGAGGTGGGTGTAACAAATAAACTGGCAACTAAGTGTATTTACCGCTGATCCCTGCTGAGCTCTAAATCACTCACTCTGTCTGTTCCCTTATGAGTGCTATGCAGAATAACAGTGTCTACAGATGACACACTAAACTTAATCACCTTCTTTGTCTAATACTGTTTGAAGGGATTTGCATCTGGGTCTTTTCTGTGTTTTTGTTTACTTAAAAATTTACTTTCTCTAAAGATTGACTGGGAGACTGCAGCATAAGAGAGTCCCACTCTGGTACATCAGGAGAGCTGGTCACCTGACCCACTGACCCAAACACTCTAACTCTAGCAGTTTCTGATCCACAGCCAGTTAAATCCCCCCCCCCCCCCCCCCCCCCCCACCCACACACACACACACACACACACACACACACACACACAATACCAAAGGAGTCTAAATCTGCTTACCAGATTGCCTCTCTTTGTCTCCCTTGTGCTAGCTTTTACTGTGGGGTATTTTAATATCAGGGATGAAAGGCATAATCCTTTTTTAACCTTTGTGTCTTTTATATGGGTCCCACATAATAAGAGTAAAAGCAATTTAAGAATGCTGAAGTGGGTAAGAGAGAGCAGTGTTTATGTATGCGTGTGACTCTTCTTATGATTCTATGTGCCGTGCTGGGTGTCTGATATCCTCGCAGATGTGACGGCACGCCATGCGTAGAGAGGTGCTTTAATCAGAGTATTTGTGTCAGGAAGCTTTCCAACAACTATGGTTTACAAGGCTCTTATTCTCAAGATGATTACAGATCACTTGCATGTTTGTTACTGATTTAATTAAAATGTAAAAGGTGCTAAAGATTTAGCTGCCAGTTTATTACTGTTGGGTGTGTTTTGCTTTTTTAATATTTATTTCATCAGATGTGATCTTTTTCTTAGAGCACTTTACAAAAAAATGTACTGTCAGAATCTGTAGATAAAATTATATAATAATGCATAAAATAAATTGAACTCATTCTCATTATAAAGTGGTCTCAAGTTTAATCAATAGATTTTTTTTTACTTTTAACTTTAACTTTTTTCCACTAGAGAAGCTTTGCATGATTTACAGTATAAATTAATCTTTGGTGCAGACCCTCAGGCCACCTTCTGTCTCTTACAACCAGATTTATATCCTGACATCACCACCTTCTAAGCAAACTTTCTTTTGGTGGGTTTCCACCTCTAAACAAAAGACTTGAACAGTAGGCTAGCAACAATATTCTGCTCACATCTAGTGCTGCGTATATGAAGCAAGTTGTAACAACAACTGCTTCATTTTTCACCATGACAATGATCCCAAACAGACTGCCGGCGCAGTAAAAGCATACTTGGATAGAAAAACTCACAGTGTAACACTGTTGGTCATCGATTGGCCTCCCCAGAGCTCGGGCCTCAATATTATTGACGCAGTGTGGGATCATCTTGAGAGAATAGTGCCAGCAGCCAACATCCAAAGAAGAGCTTTGAATGTCCTTCAAGAAGCCTGGAGAACTATTCCTGAAGCAGCTGCCTAAGAAAGATCAGGCTGTGTTCATAACAAATATTGACTTTCAAGTTCATTAGAAATGTACAAACTCTGTTTTTGGCCTATATATTGTACTTCCATGTATGTTTGCACATGTTTCAATAAATCACTGCACACATTTCCTATTTTATTAGCAAAATATAAAGAAATGAGGGTGGCTCAAGAGTTTATCACTGTACTGTACACAAAGCCAGTTCTTAGACATTTTCATAATTGATGTATTTATCGGGGGAGAGATAAATGTTGTATTTTGTGGTTTTGTTTTTTTTGTTTTTTTACATTTATCCTTTTGTGCCTCCCTCATCTCCTAAAAGCACAATCTTTACGTCACAGTAAAAGTGAAAAACAAGAGCTCGGCTCTCCCAGCTGTCTCTTAGGTTCCTGTCTATGACTTCGCAAGTGTAACGAACAACACAAACTTGGTTGTAAGTCTCGCCTGCTTTGACAGCAGTTTGATTTACAAAGTCCCTTGTTGATGCAGGATTGTTTTCATGTGTTGATAAATTATTCATCTGTTTTATCGTCGGCGAGCTTGAGCAGACTGAACCTTTTACCGTTGACTAAAATTATTTAAAAAGATGTAATTAACTCAAACAAACACATGTTAATTGTTTATCCCAGTGTCAACAGTGGGAGACGGTTCCAGCCCAGCTCCAGATGAGACATCAATGGGCAGCAATGAATCTGTATCATCGCAGTCATCATCAGCCTCGGCCTCAGAGGTGAATATGGAGAAGAGTGACCACGCCCCTCTTAATGCCAGCCTCTCCTCAGGAAGCAACTCCGGGTGAGTTCTTCACTAAGTCTCAAATCGATATGTCGCATGCGGGCGCTCAGAATGCATGTTTGTGAGGTGAGATCTTCAGCTATCAGGCCACAAATGAAAATGATTTCAAATTAGTAGTGCTTCACATCAAGTTATCCCATTCTCAAAGGTAAACTCTGTTTTTAATAACTAATGTTTGATTAGAGTGTTTTCTAATTAACTGGTCTTTGCTTCCAAAGCACAGCTGTTAGTCTGGTAATCAGTCTTTGGGCCAATTTCCTCTCACTTAATGTATTGATTCATTTAACATATGAATCGTTGAACTTCTCAGAAGTGTAGGGGATGATTCAGAGGAAAAGGCAAACTCCAAATAAGAGAGAAGGACATTATTTTAATTGTAGGCTTTTTATTCACTTGCATTTTGTATTGACGTGGTTACTGTGATTCTGTGAGAACCTGTTCTTATGTATATTCATATTCTTTTTAGTCTCTTGTTAGTGTTTTTGGAGCAGAAATCTTCCATTAAATCAATTGGATTTTAGGTTTTTTGTCTTCCAGTTCAAACCGGTGTAGTTTAATCAGACCATCGGGGATTCGATGCTCCCCAGTTTGAAAACGTCCTTAGAAAAGCACATCTTCTAGCAACATGTTAGCGTTTGATTCAGGGCACCGTTGGTCATCCTCAGCTGACAGAAAATTGAAATTCCCTTTCACGCCCTTTCAGTTTTGCATCATCTGGCTCGACAGTAACTTTGATGCACACTTGTGGAGTAAAATGAAGAATGAAATCCTTTGAATATTGGCGCACATATTTCAGCAAGAACCTGAGAATAGCGACTCTAAGCCAAAAGTCCAGCGACTTCTTCCTGTGGACATTATTAAAAAGGAAATTCATGTAAACACTTTGGGTTTCATTCATCATGGGAAGCAGTTGCACTTTTCTGCACTTAGCAGCTGCATCTCAGCTCCCTCTTTACAACTCTGGGCAAAAAGCATACTTGGCAAGATAAAACAATCATTATTAATAATGCACACTTACCTATTTTTGAACATTGTGAATCGTGGAAAACGAGCATCTCAGTTCTCGTGTGAATCACGCGTTTGCTAACCTGTAATGCACATTACGCAGTTGCCATTTTTGAGTTTAATTAAATAACAGATTATTCAAGGTAAAGTGGAATTAATTATTGGAGTGTCAGCCCCATTGTTCTTGCTATTACTCTTTTGTACTAGATGGGAAATGCATTAATAGCTGGAATGCATTGCCATGCCTCTCTCTCTCTCTCTCCCTCGCTGGCTTCTCCTTTCTGTCCTCACTGCTAAGTCCTTGGTCCTTTTTGTTGTTTTCAGCCTATGACTTGTCTTGAATGCTGATGTGAGAGATGAATTATTGGGTTATGCTGCAGATGTTAGACTCTCTGCTGTGTCATGTCTACACATTCACCTTGGAATAGACTTGTCTTTTTTCCCTCATTCACTGTCCCTCTCTCCTTTTCCATCAGCTTATAAGAGTTGTAAAATAAAAACAAATCCTCCTCACACCTTGACAGAGGACAATGTGATTCTTCTCTCTGTGACCTCTGTGGGTGCCTGCCTGCCTGTGAGTGTAGGCATGTTTAGTTTTTTTTCTAAGTTGCAGGATTAGACAGACAAGGCTCTATAGCCCTTATGTAACCAACTCTATTTTTTTTCCCCTGTGGGTATTTTATTTATTTATTTTTTTTGTGCTTTCCCACATATGTGGCATCATGTTGGAGGACGGAAGGAGCAAGCAGGAGGAGGTCGTAAATCTCGGCTCTTATTTGTTTGGGAGACAGGTGGCCGTGCGTTGGCCGTGTAAATCGTATTGACATTGGGGAGATATTCATCTTGTTTACCCTTATAGCCGCAGCCCCTGTCCCTTTATGAAGACTTGCGCCATATGTCACAGGGTGTCGCCCTGGCTTTGTTCGCTCATAAATCTTAGCATGTGAGATGGTAGAGACCTGTTAGCACAGCAGCTCTCTGGCGTGGAACCCAGGGATTCGGCGTGAGTCGTAGCCAAAAAGAGCAGTAGGGATGGCAATTGCTGCATTACTTCCAGCCACTCTCAGAAATGTGTTATCTGCTCTCTGGCGTGCTCAAAGGCGCACCTGGAAAGCAACATATTTTAGTCTCTGTCCTGCAGCATGGCAAAAATCTGCATGGTCATACAAAAAAAATGCATCCTGACTCACTGTATCATACAGTGACTCTTTGTGGGCATTTGCACGATTTATCTTCTCTGTCTACTTCCATGTCTTGCCTCATTTCTCCTCTTCTCCCTGAATTCACTCACAGCTTCTCCCAGCGGCTCGGTTGCCCGAAGTGCTGCCCAATGAGGTTACATTTTCTGGCCTTTTTTTTGTTTTGTTTTTTTGGCCTCCTTCTATCTCTGTGCTGCTGCCCCACCTCCAGCCCTCCAAGCCTCCCACTGGCAGACAGCTGTGGATCATAAAATGGTGGATCAGAGCTTATTTCCTGCCCACCCAAACTGGAGATTGCTGGGCGAGCAGCTCGGCTATAGGTCTGATCCCACTTTCTACTAGAAACAGTACTAAATCCCACCGCTGCCTTTCGTCCTTTGGTAGAAAGACGGTCGATAGCCCCGCTCATCCCCATGTTAGCTCCACGCCAGGATCAACAAGGCTTGGATCCTCCAGGCTGAAATTCCTGCAGTAATGAGAAGCAGCAGCCCTCTGCTGTGCAATGCGTGATAACGTGTGATAACCCCAATGTTTATAACGATAAACCAGAAGACCTCCAGGTGCTGTTCACTTTGAAATTCCGTGTTTGCAATATTGTTTGAGTTTGATATAATGATGCCCTTTAGTTTTTACAATATGCCCTCTGCTCAATATAATATACATACACATCCTCACAACTTGAAACTTAATACTCTTAAAGAAAACTCTTGTGATAAATATTACCGGCATCTGAAAGGGGATTTTCATCCAGGCCTTTCATGCACTGCATTTTCAAGTCCCTATTTACTGTATTTAATCATCTTTACAGAAAAAGCTTAGCTAGGCCTGTGACGGGTAAAAAACAACGAAGAGCAATTCATGCTCGATGCTATTTTTGCTGAAGAGAAACGGTAAACGATTTCCCTCGCTTTGGCTTAGCTGTAATTGTGAAAGCAATTTTTGGATAAATCCATTTACCTCTGATGTATTTAACAAGTTTCTAGGGCAACCATGTGGCGTTCCCTGATTTCCCTAACTGTTTATTCTGTTATTATTATTTAGATATCTGTTTATTTTAAAGATCTGCACAGAGCTGCATAATCCTCTTCCCAGCTGTGAGAAACAGTCAAACAGATCATTTAACTTTTCTGAAATATGTGGATGTTGACATTTTCTCCTTTCAATATCATCTAATTTTGGATATGGCGTGTATGCGAGTGAGTTCACCTGCTGGTGGGTCAAGTGTTGGCGCTCCTCGGCTCTCCTCTCTTTTGGCTTCGACCCAGGCGGACAGTGGTTGTGCCTGGGACCAGGTTAATGAGTGGATTTGCTGCACTGCAGCGCACTGTCCCCCATGCTGATGTGGAGCAGCTGAGCACCACAGTGGCCCCACACTGCTGCAGAGCTATAAATCACCCACAGTCAGGCCAGGCCCAAACAGAACAGCCACCGCTGGGGATGGACAAGAGCACTGAGAAAAGCAGGGGAAGAAATGAGGGAAGAAAGCAACTACGGGAGGCGAGGGGGTGGCGTGGGACGAAAACGTGAGCACAGCGCTGTGTTCACCTCCACCTATGTCCACATAACATCCCCAGCCATGTTCTCCCTTAAGGCTATCTCTCCCCCCACCCCTGCTAGTGCCAACGTAACCACTATTCACAACATCCTCTCAACCTCCAGCCCCTCCCCAGCTGCTCCCTCTAATTGCCTTTATTAACGTCTCTATGGGAGCGGCAGCTAGGAGCAATTTGCTCATTATGTGCTGTATTAGCACTGGCCCTGGGGCAGGCATGGAGCACAGAGGGATGCCTGGCTGAGACTCCTGCTCTCCTCTGCTGCACTCTCCCTTTATCAGGACCCCTACCTCAGTCCTTCAGGTCGGCCATAGACTTGTTGGCCCTGACAACGAGTGTAAAGCACAGCTACGACTGCAACAGATAAAACTACAGTCAACGTGTGACTGTGCAGAACCTGCGCTCACTACTGTAGGTACAGGTTTTACCAAGAAAAGAAAAGCATAATGGCTTGAGAACATCTTCACACAAAAATCAGCTCAAGATGGTGACGTTAACTAATTAAAGTTTTCCTTCTGATTTTGCTATATTGTATATCTAAATGTTATATTTAATGGAATCTGGTGAAATAAAATTAAATTGATCGGTATATCTTTAGTTTACACCAAGCACATTTTCCTCACAAAAAAATCGCATTTGAGTAAATAAACCTTTGAGTTCATATATTTCAATTGCATTTATATTATAATGCTGCGTGAACAAGAACATTAATGCTGGTATCGTGTTGTTTTCATGGAAATGTGTAGTATGCCAACATTACTGTATGTATAAGATGTCCTTAGCCTTAATCTGCATTCTTTTTAATGGCCAGCAGGGGGAGACTCTTCTAGTTGCAAAACCAAGTGATTGTACAGAAGCCTGTGGTTACATGAGTCTACTTCTCTTTTGATTTATGACCTCACTAAACGCTAATTCTAAGTCTAAATGTTTCGTTTTGTTCTTTATGGTTGGATTAAGAATTAAATAAACTATAAATTGTGCAATATTCCAGTCAGAGACTGGAACACACTTTCTCATAGTGTTCAAAAAACAAGTCGTCAGCGGCTAAAAATCCAAAAATCCAAAGCGGGAAACCGATGGATTACATAATGCTGACCATAATTTCAGTCAGCAGACGACACTATGGAATCTGTGGTGACTAAGCTGCTCTGTTTTATTTGCAGATCTGCCACAGCAGCAGCCTCCTGCTCTGCTCCTGGATCGTCAGGAGAGCGTCAAACTGTTGCTACCAAAGCTACTTCTGACAAAGAAAGGCAAGAGGAAAGGTAAGACAGGGCTCTTTGCTAGTTTCTTCTCTAATTTCGTAATTGCAGTTGGCCTCTCTTCCGTGCTGTTTTGTCTGAATTGTTCACTATCACGCTCGCATCATGTTTGAATGTCATGCGGAAAAATTCTTTCGCTCTCTTTTCCTGTTTTAAATCACTTCCTCCGTTACTAACTCGCTGCTCTTATCTTGCGTGTCTCAATCGTCTAGCATCAGCGCAGCTTTTCACATCAATATTTTCCTTCTTTTTCTTTTTAATGTTGTTCACTCTTTGTGTGATTTGGTTACCTTTGATGAATTGAATGCCACACAAGCATTGGCCATAGCAGCAACCTTCTCCTTTGTCAAGTCTCAAATGGTACCTTGAGAGAAGTGGATGGGACTGTGCACGCAGTCAGCCCATTGCACTGATCAATTGCCCTGCCTGCCTCCAAATAAATGCTCAGTTCATTCTCGGTGCCTTCAGATGTTGCTGAGGAGTATGCAAACAGCGTGGTAATTCTATGGGCAATCCATCAATGTTGTTTTCATCGAAATAAAAGTCTTCGTTTTTCCAAATGCGGTTCCACATGAGTGCATTCTTCCAATATTCTTCTGAATTCAGGAACTTGGCTGAGCATTGTTGTATTGACAACTCTGTGACCACAAACTTTTTTCAGTTTGTATATCTTCTTTCTCCTTTCTCATCCTACATTGTTGCCTCTCTGCAGAAAGAATATGAAATATTTATCAGGGCATCGTGCGTTGAAGGCACAATTTCTACATGGTAATGTTGCTGGCGTTCGAGATAACACTTTGCAATGGTGGGCAAAACAAGCTTTCTGTGGAGACGGTTTTTATGTTTTTGCCAACCGAATGGCATAAATACGTCTTTTTACTAACCTTTGCGGTGCGATGAATATGGTTTCTTTGACGGCGCTCTTTTACATCGGGCTGATTTAAAATGCAGCTTCTGAGCTCACAAATGGGAATTTAAAAGCCGAAGCGCTGCGGAGGGAGATTTCTTTTCTACCTGTGTTTGTGTGCAAACCTACTTTAGAATCCCCCTGCTACTTTTTAATTATCTCACCATAGATGGTTGTCTGCTGCGCAGACCTGATGTGTGCTTTCCTTTTTGGCTGTACAAAATCTGCTGCAAACAGTGCTGCATCCCATTGTGTCTGAGCACACACACACGCACATGTGCTTGTAGCTGTGTTTTGACTCGCTCCTTGGACTGTCTAGACTAGAGATAGGGCAAGACAAGGCTGTGTAGTGGCCCAGCTCCTCTCTCAGTACTTTTTTTCTTATTTTCCAACCTGGCCCATTTCTGCTGTTTCAGGCTAGTGAGTGAATGAACAAGCAGGCCCCGGGCCCAGATTGAACTGTGCGGTAATCCTTCCCAAAGCTCCGCCAGCTCACTGATTGCCTTCATTTTTCAGTGTCACCAGCAGGAAAGCCAGGGCAGTGTACCCATGTGAGGCTGAGCACGACTCTGAGCTCTCCTTCCACGTCGGCGACATATTCAACGGTGGTAAGTGTTATCGCCTACACCAGTCGCTCACTCAGAACCAGCCCTGGCATATTGGATTTGGAGGAAAACCGAACAGCCAATCTGATCTTCAATTGAACAGAGAGATGAGACAAGGAGGGGGGAGAACAGGGAGGGCTGCGCAGGAGACACAGATTTGGTCTGTGGTGTCTCTGAGTCGAAGCTCAACTGAGCTTTAATCACTCATAGAGGAAATGAGGATTTTTCGAGTCCCTATTTTTTATATTTTTGTGAGAACCCTCCTTTATGAGACACAGATAGTATAAAGTGTATATACTGAATTATGTACAAGCAAACCTGCTTGTGGAGATGCTTTTGATATGACCTAAGAATTTATTGGTTGTTATGATCACGTAGCTTTACATTTTTGCACTGTTTGAAATGGGTGCATCTGTATTTTAGTGTTGGTGTGAGGAGTACATGCCATTCAAAACATGATTACAGTAACAACACTTAATTTATTAGAAAGTGGATTTCTAAGTATTAAGAAAATAATAATATTTTAAAAGTCAGATTAAACCATCCTCTGTTTTATTTTTCTCACGTTTTAAATAACTATCTTGTTGAAGTTGTTTCTTTTGGATTTTAACATAAATCTCCAGTTATCCTGTTAAGAAAGTTTGGGCACATTCTGTACAGCTTTGTTTACTATCTGTGTGTCCTTCAGCACTTAATCTGGCTTCAAAGGAGGCGACTGACATTGTTACATAAATGTTACGTGCCGAGGTTTTAATCAACTAAACATCTACTTGCTGTGTCTTCAAAACCCTTGACATTTTGCTGCACTTCTATTTCTAAATGTATTTGTGGTCTTAAGTCAGCTGGAGCATAGCAGATGTGCAGAAGGTCAAGAGGTCTGACTCTTTACCAAGTCTGTGTATATGTGTGAAGACAAAGTTGACATATATTGATGTTTCCTAACCCTTAAAATTAGCAGAACATATCTGCATTTCTTATTTGCTTATAATTTATTCTCTTCGATTCTTCGATTCTTAGCCACCTTAGAGACCTAAAGTTTTTTGTTGTTGTTCCATTATACTATACAATATATAACAGTTCAAAACATAGTGGATGCAAACAGCCCTTTAACAACAGTCCTTGCACTGGAAGACAGGTCCCAGGGGCGGAGACATGGGGTGGCTTTGGCAATGAAAGCCTGAAGTCTTGACCCCCCTCTAGCCAACCCACGCAGTCAGTGGTGGTGAAGGGGGGGGGGGGCTACATTCACACTAAAAAGAACTGGAGTTATGTCCAGTTTGTTTTATCTTTCCAGCAGAAAGTTTTTGCAGAACTTTTCTCTGTGTTCCACGTTTCCATATTTTGAACACATTTTAGCATTATTTTAAAAGCATGAGTACGATTGAAATTGTTCTCATCCTATGAGTTTTATTGTCGTTTTTCAGTCACGCGACTGCTAAACACGTGACATTAACTTATCTGACATTTTGGACGTGTCACAATGTACGGTCAAGTAAACAAGGCCCCAGTCACACAGATCTAGAGATCAGTCCATGACCATCTGGCAACCGACGATTGTGAGTGGAAAATGTGTGTTGCCTCCACTTCCTTGCGATTGTGTTAGTTGCTAACAGATTGCTGTGGTGGCTGGTGGCTTGCATGGAACATGCCCAGCTTATCTGCAACTACTTTCTGCTTTTATTTTGGAGGCAACATTTTCTGTTTCCAGTTTGTATTGCACTTTTTCCAAGTTTTACTGCGACTTTGCTAGTAGTTACCTACCTTAGCCTACCAAGCACACTAAGGGCAACAATCTGCTAGAGACTAACACGATCACAAGCAGGTTTTTGGTGCAACACCTTCCTTGCAATTGATTTCATCAAGTGTTGGTAAACAGCTGCCAGAAACCACTTGTGAACCGGTTAGAGGTTCAGTGTGTCTTTTATATATATAATACACATTCAAGCTTCGTCTTCCGTCATACAGCTTCAACTCTCCCTGGTGTCTTCTCCTGAAAAATGAAGAAATAAGCCCAGAATCTTAGTTTCTTCCTCTTCTTGTGCAGAAACATCAGGACCAGCTCATCATCACTTAATGTCAGCTTAATTTTTTTCACGGTGCATTTTTTAAAAACTAATTTTCTGGAAAAAATGCAAGGTGTTTAAAGTGTATATGTTACACAGCAAGTCTGCATCTGGAAAATTGTGAATTTCTTGTCGCTTTTTTCCAATGCGCTCAGTTTGAAATGGTGCTATGATTTAAAAATGAATGTCATGTTGTTTTTTACAAGAGCTGACATGAGGGATTGGGTCCATAACCTCATCAGGAAAATGCTCACTCAAGTCACAGAGTAAGAGACCTGAGAGGCATGTTTTCATGGACTTTTATTTAGCTGGGCTTTTTTTTTCTTCTAGCCGCAGCTGGCGCCCCCTGCTGGTCGTTTAACTCATCGGTCCCCAACCTTTTTTGCGCCACGGACCGGTTCAT